CTGATTCGTCAAACCTGCTTTCCTGCAGTCCGTGTTCTTCTGATTCTGATTGGCAATGTTCTTCTGACTGTTTTGTAGTAAGTAACAAATATGCTTCAGGGAAATGTATCGGAGTAAATGTATACATTTTAATTAGGAAATGTAGTGGAGTAAAAGTTGGCTGAAATATAAAAACTCAAGTAAAGTACAGATACTCCCAAAAAATACTTAAGTACTGTAACAAAGTATTATTACGTTGTTACATTACACCACTGGTTACTAATCATGTGCACAGCTAGACGGGTTTGTTTGTGTTGTGTGTTGTGCAGTGAGTGTGATCTCCACGGAGGTGACGTGTGTTCTGGGCGCGTGGAGGTGTGGGACTACGCCATCACTGTCACACTGCTGCACGTCGCTCTGACCGTAGCAGGTGAGAACATCCACATACTTCATGAAGACTTGAGGTTAAACATATTTGGTCAAATCAGTTCGATCAATTAACCTGAACCCATGATAAAGGAACATTATGAGTGCAAATCAAGCAATGCTGTATCATGCTTTCAACAAGCACAGAAAAATATCATCTCTCGTCCCACAGTTTGTGAAATGTCCTTGCAATGGAAGACTGTGGGCCAATTTACTTATAATAGAGTTGCATATGAGTCGGTCGTTCCTGGGGCTCAGTAACATTTCAACTCGGAATATACTTTTTTTTTTTCAACTACGTATGATTCATATTCTAAATACCTCACATCATTAGGCACATGTCTGACCTCCAAAAATCTTATTTTCCCACCTCAGGCATTAAAGACTAGGGATGCACCGATATCACTTTTTCCAGTACTCGCCCGATATCGATACTTTTATATTTGGTACTTGCCGATACCGATACTTTTATTGCATTTGTAAATTTTTTAAATATTGGGTACAGAAACCAAAAGGGTATGTATAATGTTAGTTGGTTAACTTAATTTATCAAATAGATACAGTCAAACCTAAATATATTCAGACACCTTCAACATTTCTCACATTATCAAAGTTTATTTGCTATAGTTTAGAAAATGGTAATAAAATATGACAAGAACTCAGAGTTACACTGTGTCAAAACAAATTCAGCTTGATAATGTTAGATAACTTTGATAGAAAGGTATGTAATAGATTACAATCAACCAAAAATTAGACAGCTGATAGTATGACAGTATTTACACAACTATCAATAATTAGTCGGGCAACCCTTAGCCTTAATGACAGCCTGTTGTAATCACGCGCTTTGCTGTAATAATGCAGGGAACCACTCATTATAAATCTCCTAACTGTGATATTTTCAGAAATAGAAGTCGCGTTTTTTCATCTGAAATGTGCTGCGATTTATTTTCCAAAGCCTCTCATATAATGCAGAAACACTCAAGCAAGCAAAACACGCGCAACGCCTGCACATTTGTACTGATGTTCGCTCTCTCTCTCTCTCTACTGTTAAGTAGCTTGTGCATTGTTTTAGTTACTTGTTTTTGACATATCCGACCGAACTACAAACTTTCCAGTGATGTCTGTGAGAAAGGTATATTCACTCGACAAGAGTACAGGAGCTCAGTATCGGGCCCGATACCAGTATCGGTATCGGTGCATCCCTATTAAAGACCTTTTATTATTTTCTGTTTTTTTTGTTTCAGATTTTTTTCAGACACCTTTTTATCTCAGACCAAATGGGATTGGGTTAAAAAAGATTTTACACAGAATTTGTCATAAAACAAACATCTACCTACTGCTCATGTGTCCCTCATAACAATCAAATGATAACAAATGTAATATTTATCACAGTTTTCACATTTTTATAGGACTGATGCTAAAAATACACATTGTGTGTCTATGGTCTCTTTATTTTTTTGTAAAATAAATAAATAATTATTTTTAATTTAGAGCAATTTAGAACAATTTTATTGTTTTAGTCCTTTACATGCCAGATAGTAATCAGCAAGAAATGCTTTCGTGTCCTTGTGTATCATCCAAGTTACCATGTTTACTGGCTTTACTTGGTCACAACAGTCATTGAACAGCAGCTGATGTGTTTGCACCAAACACAGGTCAAGCTGATTGAAGGCTCAGGCGCGTTAAACTCCAAGAAAGAATTCAATTCAAAAAAGAAGAAAAAGTCACAATTTACTCTTTTGGATCCTTTGACCTTAAAAATGTTTTTCCTTGGATCAAGAGTGAACATTTCCTGAACATATGTGACCATGGACCACAAGTCATAAGGGTAATTTTTCGAAATTGAGATTTATGCATCATCTGAAAGCTGAATAAATAAGCTTTGTTAGGCTAGGACAATATTTGACCGAGATACAACTATCTGGAATCTGAGGGTGCAAAAAAATCTAAATGTTGAGAAAATCGCCTTTAAAGTTGTTCAAATGAAGTTCTTAGCAATGCATATTACTAATAAAAAAGTAAGTTTTAATATTTTTATGGTTGGAAATTTACAAAATATCTTCATGGAACATGATCTTTACTTAATATCCTAATGATTTTTGGCATAAAAGAAAAATCAGTAATTTTGACCCATACAATGTATTTTTGGCTATTGCTACAAATATCCCCCAGCGACTTAACACTGCTTTTGGGCTGCAGGGTCACATATGAGATCAATACGATACATAAACGTGACGTGTCTCTGTCATGCTGCAGTCAAATAAGTACATCAGTGTTTTGAGAGCCACAGACTCTACTGAATAACATCCATTAGTGGAAAAGCATCTTTATCCACACAACACCACTGACAGCCTCAGACTACAGCAAAACATCAGCCGGTTTGTTTGGCTTGCGGCTCCTTTTGTGAGTCTAGTTTACCTGTACTGTGTTGTTTGAGTGAATTAGATTAGTGGATGCACAGAATTATGGCATTTCTTTACCTGTGAACTAGAGTTGCAGTTCTGGAAAATTACATAATGCTTAGCAATAAAATATGTTTAACAAAAGGGTTGCTCACCAACAAGGCGGATATAATGAATCCTACACTGTAAAAAATGACCGTGAATTTAACGGTAAAAAACTAAAAATGCTACAGTAAAAACCTGTTAAATGGTTAATGGTAAATTCCCCTACTATATACGGTGAACATTTGTATTGGACATTACATGTAATTTTACGGTAGTATACCATTTACCTGTGAACTAGAGTTGCAGTTCTGGAAAATTACATAATGCTTAGCAATAAAATATGTTTAACAAAAGGGTTGCTCACCAACAAGGCGGATATAATGAATCCTACACTGTAAAAAATGACAGTGAATTTAACGGTAAAAGACTAAAAATGCTACAGTAAAAACCTGTTAAATGGTTAACAGTAAATTCCCCTACTATATACGGTGAAAAACTGCATTGGACATTACATGTAATTTTACGGTAGTATACCTTTTTTGGAAGTGAAAAAGACTATAATTACAGTGAATATCAGTTAATGAAATTACGGTATTTAACTGTAAATTTAAGTTAAAACATTAAAACCTAAAATGTTGCTACCGTATTTTTTACGGTAAAATTCCGGTACCACTGGCCAAAATCTGTAGAAAGCTTGAAGTATTAGCTTCGTGTTATTGTGAGTCTGCAGTCAGACGACAGTAAACATGGCACTCATGGCGTGAGGAGCTAAAGAACAGTGAGACGCAATATAAATATAACACAAACTAACAATTAAAATATACTAGGAATTAAATACAATAACATGTCCTGTTTGAACAAGTCCACCTTGGACACATTAAATGGATTGCTGTGCTGTGATGGTCATGACAAAAATGTGACAAATACATTGGCTTCTACATACTTTTTTTTTTTTCTATTCAATACTTTATTTGCATGGCGTAATAATGTAGGCAAATGTCTGAATGAATGATTGATAGATGTGATTTATTGCAATTAAGTAGATTTTTTTTGTATATCGAATTTGTTTACAAAACTTTATCCCATTAACCTAAAACGTTGCTACTGTATTTTTTACGGTAAAATTCCGGCAACCACAGCCTAAATTTTATGGAATTTTTTTTACAGTGTACCACTGGCCAAAATCTGTAGAAAGCTTGAAGTATTAGCTTCATGTTATTGTGAGTCTGCAGCCAGACGACAGAAAACATGGCACTCATGGCGTGAGGAGCTAAAGAACAGTGAGACGCAATATAAATATAACACATATAACATAAACTAACAATTAAACTATACTATGAATTAAATACAAGAACATGTCCTGTGTGAACAAGTCCACCTTGGACACATTAAATGGATTGCTGTGCTGTGATGGTCATGACAAAAATGTGACAAACAATACATTGACTTCTACATACATTTTTTTTTTCTATTTAATACTTTATTTGCATGGCGTAATAATGTAGGCAAATGTCTGAATGAATGATTGATAGATGTGATTTATTGCAATTAATTAGATTTTTTTTATATCAAATTTGTTTACAAAACTTTATCCCGTCTTAGATATTTTCATTGCATGAACTTATAGTATTTGCATTGACGATATGCATGCGTCTGTGATAAATGTTTTGTAAAATAGTATTTTTGAAAGTACATGAGGACTTTTTGAACCTGTTTTCACTGTGACTTTGGTTTCGGTTATGGCTGATTTTCCCTCGACAGAGCACTGGTGGATTGCTCTCGGTAAGCTCTCTCTTTTGGAAAAGCTTTGTCACTGAAACATTTGTCATTTTAGCCTTTGTCATACAGTTTAGCATCACATAAAACCAATTAAACATACAGAAATTATAACCAAGAAAATGAATAATTACCAAGAATTCACTGCTGAGTCGGTCCTGTTTTCTCCATAAAAGCTTATGGGTCATCAAATCTGGTAGCTCGGGTATCAAAATGATTCCCAAATTTACAGTCTGAAGGGACGTTCATCCACAACGTCTAAGTCTCTATCACATATCACTGACAATTGTTGTCTGTTGATGAATTGCTTAGAGGTCGAGGGGCCCAGACCTGTCCGATCCCAATTAAACACACCTGGGTCCACAAAAAGAAATACACTTCTGAAGACTTCTTAATAAATAAATTTAGATCACTTCCAAGAAGTTTGCTTAAGTGCAATTCTTGAAAGAATTCTCTGTAAGTTCTCATTTATGTTCTAAAGAACATCTTGTATCGTTTCTTAAGAAGAAGAAATCTTTATCTGATTGAATAAATGACAGTTCTTGCTAAGAATTCACGGCTTGTCTTTTTGCGCTGCCTGCAGATTACTGTAATAATCATAATAAGCACGCACACTATTTTAGACATGACCACGGTTTTGAGTAGTTACTTTCAAAGAGCCTGTCTCAAGATCTGGGCAATCAAGACTGGTTTCTGTAGAGTTGTTGCTGAATTCTGAATTGAAGTCCATAGTGTTATTAAATGTAGCTAGTGTTATGTTGTAATACTTAATTAATTTGAACTCAATAAATTCACAAAATCATTCTTGCCTTTGGGGATTTAAGACAAGTCTGAGGCTATCCTAACTTATCTATGATGATTTTAAAGACGATTCCTTTCAAGAATTCGAATGCAAGTGTGTTGGAGCTCCAGAAGCAGGATTGGACACCCCTGTTAAAGGTCAAAGGGCAGGCTTTCTTTCTGATCATATGGGACCCTGGAGCACAAAACGAAATTGAGATTTATGCATCATCTGAAAACTGAATGAATACGCTCTCCATTGATGTATGGTATGATATGACAATATTTGGCTGAGATACAACTATTTGAAAATCTGGAATCTGAGGGAGCAAAAAAATCTAAATATTGAGAAAATCATCTTTAAAGTTGTCCAAATGAAGTTCTTAGCAATGCATATTACTAATCAAAAATTAAGTTTTTATATATTTACGGTAGGAAATTGACTAAATATCTTCCTGGAACATGATCTTTACTTATTATCCTAATGATTTTTGGCATAAAAGAAAAATCAATAATTCTGACCCATACATTTGTGTCACCGCTTTAGAGACAGTGCATTAAAGTGAAATCAGGGCTCTCATCTCGTATTAAACACATGCTCAGTGCATCACAGACTGGTAATAATGTAATGCTGACGGTCTCTTGCAGGCTCTGGGTTGTTGATGCTGATTTTTGGCGGGCAGCTCCTGGCTTACAGACTCTTCAGAAGTAATTTTGTGCATCCGGCAGATCTTCAGAATCTCTGACACGCTGTGGAACATGTGCAGCGATGGCTTTTCTCAGTTTTGTATTTCTCTTTTTTACATCATGGGTACTTTGAAAGAGTTTTGATATTCCTACACAATATTTTGTTGAGAAACTGTCTGCTCATTATAAAATAATCAGAGTAAACCATGTTATTTTGGTGGCCTCTTGTGACATCCTATGGTGAAATCTCACAAGAGTCCAATGGATTTTGACTCGGATGCAAATATGATTGTCGGTGCTTACATGAAAATTTACATTTGCTTCACTTACTGTAAACAGCAATGTCTTATGTTAAGTTATTTGAATTGGAAGGATTTTGGGGTGTTTAAATCTGGTGCACTCTGTATTATTTTGGCCATCTGAGACAAATTTTGTCCATCCGTCCGTCCGTCCGTGAATCCTATAAGACCCTCCTGACATAGGCCATAAATCTGTAGTCTCCATTGCAGCTGAATTTGACCTCTGATGAAGTTTTGAGGCGCGGTGCTGTAGTGTGGCTTCATTTATGACGGCATCAAATCAAGAACCGTTAGGAGCTCAGAACCTGATGTTAGAGAGACAACAAAAAACACCACTTGCTACTTCAATACAAGCCAAGAGATTGCTTTTGTTTGCTAGCCTTTGCAATTCTGTGTATGAGCGTGTCACAGATTCATGATGATAAACTCTGGAAAAGTCTTCTTGAGAGATTATTAAAGTCTGTTGAGTTCTTTAAAAATGTCGAAAGCAGGAAGTGACATCATGTTTGTGACAGCATTTCCTCAAATGAACTATTATTATTATTTTCCAAATCATAGTGTTGACTGCATTCCTCAGTCTCAACCATCAGCCCTGTACCAAAGTTATGAAGAAAAATGATCCAAAAAAATATTTACCATCATTTATGGTATAACTACAAACAAACATTTGTGTGATTGCTTCATTAAGTGAAAATGAAAAAATAAAAAAAAACATTAGTTGCAAGCATTACTAAATGTTTTATTTTATTGGACCTGTAACCGTTTTCTTTAGGTAAATATTTTTGTGTAAATCTCAAAAACAATGCCTGAGACATATTTCATTTCAAAATGATTTCCCTGAGACGAGAATATGAGAGAATAATGATATATTAACGGTGACGTATTCACATCTCAAGGCAGTAATTATGCTGATTTGAATCTGAAGAGACTCACTATAGACCTACAGTATACTATCACAGAGAAGCAAAACCAGTTCAAATTCTGTCGCAATGCAAAAGATCTACAGGCAGGCAATGAAACCGTATCGTTTCTCTCTTGATTTTGTGGTGAAATGAGACCTTTTAGAAGAGGAACTGTGGATGTAGTGCAGTTATAGTTTGCTCTAATCCTGAACAGCTGCTGTCCTCTAATGGGTTTAGATTAAGTGCATGACGTATTACCGACTCCTCAGGAACACGGTAGATCGGTCGAAAGCATTGCCAAACTGAAAGTGTGTCCATTATCTGGTTTATTCAGTGATCTCGGTGCACATTAAGCACCAAGCAATAGCTATTTTTTTAAATGTATGCATTTGGTCACTTTTAGCAACTTTTGAAAAGTGATTCAATTCATAAAAAAGGCATGCATCTTTCCTTTTAACCACACAAAAAGAAGAAACTATTGAAAAAAATCTATCTATCTATCTATCTATCTATCTATCTATCTATCTATCTATCTATCCAATCTATATATCTATATATCCATCTCTCCATCAATCTATCTATTTATCTATCCATCTATCCGTCTATTTATCCGTCCATCCGTCCATCCATCCATCCATCTATCTATCTATCTATCTATCTATCTATCTATCTATCTATCTATCTATCTATCTATCTATCTATCCATCCATCTATCTATCTATCCGTCTATCCGTCTATCTATCCATCTATCCATCCATCTATCCATCTATCCATCTATCTATCTATCCGTCTATCCGTCTATCTATCTATCTATCTATCCGTCTATCCGTCTATCTATCTATCTATCTATCCGTCTATCCGTCTATCTATCTATCTATCTATCCGTCTATCCGTCTATCTATCTATCTATCTATCCGTCTATCCGTCTATCTATCTATCTATCTATCCGTCTATCCGTCTATCTATCTATCTATCTATCCGTCTATCCGTCTATCTATCTATCTATCTATCCGTCTATCCGTCTATCTATCTATCTATCTATCCGTCTATCCGTCTATCTATCTATCTATCTATCCGTCTATCCGTCTATCTATCTATCTATCTATCCGTCTATCCGTCTATCTATCTATCTATCTATCCGTCTATCCGTCTATCTATCTATCTATCTATCCGTCTATCCGTCTATCTATCTATCTATCTATCCGTCTATCCGTCTATCTATCTATCTATCTATCCGTCTATCCGTCTATCTATCTATCTATCTATCCGTCTATCCGTCTATCTATCTATCTATCTATCCGTCTATCCGTCTATCTATCTATCTATCTATCCGTCTATCCGTCTATCTATCTATCTATCTATCCGTCTATCCGTCTATCTATCTATCTATCTATCCGTCTATCCGTCTATCTATCTATCTATCTATCCGTCTATCCGTCTATCTATCTATCTATCTATCCGTCTATCCGTCTATCTATCTATCTATCTATCCGTCTATCCGTCTATCTATCTATCTATCTATCCGTCTATCCGTCTATCTATCTATCTATCTATCCGTCTATCCGTCTATCTATCTATCTATCTATCCGTCTATCCGTCTATCTATCTATCTATCTATCCGTCTATCCGTCTATCTATCTATCTATCTATCCGTCTATCCGTCTATCTATCTATCTATCTATCCGTCTATCCGTCTATCTATCTATCTATCTATCCGTCTATCCGTCTATCTATCTATCTATCTATCCGTCTATCCGTCTATCTATCTATCTATCTATCCGTCTATCCGTCTATCTATCTATCTATCTATCCGTCTATCCGTCTATCTATCTATCTATCTATCCGTCTATCCGTCTATCTATCTATCTATCTATCCGTCTATCCGTCTATCTATCTATCTATCTATCCGTCTATCCGTCTATCTATCTATCTATCTATCCGTCTATCCGTCTATCTATCTATCTATCTATCCGTCTATCCGTCTATCTATCTATCTATCTATCCGTCTATCCGTCTATCTATCTATCTATCTATCCGTCTATCCGTCTATCTATCTATCTATCTATCCGTCTATCCGTCTATCTATCTATCTATCTATCCGTCTATCCGTCTATCTATCTATCTATCTATCCGTCTATCCGTCTATCTATCTATCTATCTATCCGTCTATCCGTCTATCTATCTATCTATCTATCCGTCTATCCGTCTATCTATCTATCTATCTATCCGTCTATCCGTCTATCTATCTATCTATCTATCCGTCTATCCGTCTATCTATCTATCTATCTATCCGTCTATCCGTCTATCTATCTATCTATCTATCCGTCTATCCGTCTATCTATCTATCTATCTATCCGTCTATCCGTCTATCTATCTATCTATCTATCCGTCTATCCGTCTATCTATCTATCTATCTATCCGTCTATCCGTCTATCTATCTATCTATCTATCCGTCTATCCGTCTATCTATCTATCTATCTATCCGTCTATCCGTCTATCTATCTATCTATCTATCCGTCTATCCGTCTATCTATCTATCTATCTATCCGTCTATCCGTCTATCTATCTATCTATCTATCCGTCTATCCGTCTATCTATCTATCTATCTATCCGTCTATCCGTCTATCTATCTATCTATCTATCCGTCTATCCGTCTATCTATCTATCTATCTATCCGTCTATCCGTCTATCTATCTATCTATCTATCCGTCTATCCGTCTATCTATCTATCTATCTATCCGTCTATCCGTCTATCTATCTATCTATCTATCCGTCTATCCGTCTATCTATCTATCTATCTATCCGTCTATCCGTCTATCTATCTATCTATCTATCCGTCTATCCGTCTATCTATCTATCTATCTATCCGTCTATCCGTCTATCTATCTATCTATCTATCCGTCTATCCGTCTATCTATCTATCTATCTATCCGTCTATCCGTCTATCTATCTATCTATCTATCCGTCTATCCGTCTATCTATCTATCTATCTATCCGTCTATCCGTCTATCTATCTATCTATCTATCCGTCTATCCGTCTATCTATCTATCTATCTATCCGTCTATCCGTCTATCTATCTATCTATCTATCCGTCTATCCGTCTATCTATCTATCTATCTATCCGTCTATCCGTCTATCTATCTATCTATCTATCCGTCTATCCGTCTATCTATCTATCTATCTATCCGTCTATCCGTCTATCTATCTATCTATCTATCCGTCTATCCGTCTATCTATCTATCTATCTATCCGTCTATCCGTCTATCTATCTATCTATCTATCCGTCTATCCGTCTATCTATCTATCTATCTATCCGTCTATCCGTCTATCTATCTATCTATCTATCCGTCTATCCGTCTATCTATCTATCTATCTATCCGTCTATCCGTCTATCTATCTATCTATCTATCCGTCTATCCGTCTATCTATCTATCTATCTATCCGTCTATCCGTCTATCTATCTATCTATCTATCCGTCTATCCGTCTATCTATCTATCTATCTATCCGTCTATCCGTCTATCTATCTATCTATCTATCCGTCTATCCGTCTATCTATCTATCTATCTATCCGTCTATCCGTCTATCTATCTATCTATCTATCCGTCTATCCGTCTATCTATCTATCTATCTATCCGTCTATCCGTCTATCTATCTATCTATCTATCCGTCTATCCGTCTATCTATCTATCTATCTATCCGTCTATCCGTCTATCTATCTATCTATCTATCCGTCTATCCGTCTATCTATCTATCTATCTATCCGTCTATCCGTCTATCTATCTATCTATCTATCCGTCTATCCGTCTATCTATCTATCTATCTATCCGTCTATCCGTCTATCTATCTATCTATCTATCCGTCTATCCGTCTATCTATCTATCTATCTATCCGTCTATCCGTCTATCTATCTATCTA